ACTAAGTTTGATCAAACGATTGTACCCACAACTTTTTTCATCGGAATACAGTATTTTAGCACGTAAGTTAATAGTTGCAGTTATAATAACTTGTAGGACAAACTAAACAAAAAAGATGGAATAAAATTGCTTAAAAACTGTAAACTTCTGCCAGATTAATTCAAAAATATAAAAGTCTCGGATTCCATGCCATTTTTCTCACTGGATTCCAACGTCTTGGATTCCATGGTTATAGTGTATTGAATTTATCAACTATTTGTTTAGCAACTATTTGTTTAGTGGTTGAGTAGAAATGGCTCGGATTCCGGGACCATGTCCTGGATTCCGAATTCAAGTAATTGTTCGCTATACCATGGATTCCGGGATTTTGCCAATTTTCGGCGGTTTAATTGATTGTCCCGGATTCAGGGATGTTCGTGCCGCCATGCGAGTATTTGAACGCGGAATTCATGGCATGTGCATGTTATATCATTTGAATTCGGAATCCATGTACACTAATAGTCAAATCTGACTATTGAAATAACACGGATTGGCGACGTAATGCTCGCCATACGGGTTGTACTTCTTCTTGTTCCTTCCTTTATTGCTCTGGCGTGTTTCCATGGTGAAAGGAAAGTCAGTTTGTACTCCTTTGGCAATTTCAGTCTGTTCTGGGCAGTCCCAGTCCTCTTCGGCATAAGGTAGAGTTTCGTCGCCCACCTCTACTCGCTCAGTCAAATCCAGGTCCAGTTTCAGATCGCAATTATCTACCACCTCATTCCCGTTGTTTTTGTCGCGCGTACCTCTTTCATTCACTTCACAAGCAGGATCCAATATTGAATAGTCTCCCTCCTGCATGTCCATTGGGATGCACCAGTCCTCTGATGAGGCATTGTTTGGTTTGATACTTTCGTAGGGAGCTGCTGGTCCGGTGCTCAATCGAAAAACGACCTCCTTGGTGCACTTCTGTTATTTGAAATGGGGCGCGCCATTTTTTTTGTAATTTTTTGGTTTCTTTTGGTGGAACTACTTCCTGGAACACCCAGACGTGATCGACCACTGAGTAGGCTTTTGCATCTGCAGTCCTTTTATCAAATCTCCTCTTTTGTCTAATTTGCACCTGTTGCGTGTTCCTCCTGCATAAGTCATTGAGGTCATGCTTCCTTCTAATAACATCACGCACGTACGTTTGCAGTGCTTGGCACACAACTCGCTCTGATCCTTATCCTTCATCTACAACGTCTCAATCGCCTCCGAGGTGTGGATCTCTATCTTGTTCATCCTCACTCTCTTCAGTGGAGGAGTAGCTGTTGGAGAATCCACTGAGTGTGACGGGCCCGGCCCATCACGTAGTCTTTTCACTCCGATGAGCGGCTGCACAGGTTGAACAGGTAGGGGCATCTCACCTAGCCGATGAACCCTCTGCTCGCCTAGTCCCGGGTCACGAGCCAAGTTGTTGCCAGACATATCTCCTCGCCGCCATCTCATCAGTCGAATTCGCCTCTCTCGGCGGTTTATGGAACCCTCTGCTCGCCTAGTCCCGTGTCACGAGCCAAGTTGTTGCCAGACATATCTCCTCGCCGCCATCTCATCAGTCGAATTCGCCTCTCTCGGCGGTTTATTGAAAAACTAGGACCAAGGTGGATCGTCCACCTGCAACCTTATCAAGGTAAAACAAATGAGCGCAGTCACTTTTCCTACCTTTCTTGTTCCAGGTCTCTTATGATACAAACATCACAAAAAACATAACCTAAGAATATCGAGGTTGGATTGCGGAACGCGTGGAGGGCCATCTGGAGCGACCCAGTTGGACTCGGTATTGTCATGGCTGACGTATTTGATGCCGTCTTTATCGACATCCTGAATCGTCAAGATTGTCTCTTTAGGATCTGCCGGCAGATCATGGAGCCATTCGAGCACTCGCAAGTTCGTTAATTCTTGCTCATGAGTCTGCTCCAACTCTGGTTCGAACTCTACTTCTGGTTTGGAGCGATCGTCGATCCAATCCTGATCCATGTCATTGACCAAGTCAATCTTTTGGCACCGCTACTTCATCCAGTCCCACCAGCGATTCCATCATATCGCTTAAAACTATCCTGTCTATGACGAAATCCTCGCCATATGGGTTTTACTTCTTCTTGTTCCTTACTTTATTGCTCTGGCGTGTTTCCATGGTGAAAGAAAAGTCAGGTTGTACTCCTTTGTCATTTTCAGTCTGTTCTGGGTAGTGCCAGTCCTCTTCGGCATAAGGTAGAGACCCACCTCTACTCGCTCAGTCAAATCCAGGTCCAGTGGCAGATCGCAATTATCTACCACCTCATTCCCGTCGTTTTTGTCGCGCGTACCTCTTTCATTCACTTCACAAGCAGGATCCAATATTGAATAGTCTCCCACCTGCATGTCCATTGGGATGCACCAGTCCTCTGATGAGGCATTGTTTGGTTTGATACTTTCGTAGAGAGCTGCTGGTCCGGTGCTCAATCGATAAAAACAACCTCCTTGGTGCACTTCTGTTATTTGAAATGGGCCGCGCCTTTTTTAAGTAATTTTTTGGTTTCTTTTGGTGGAACTACTTCCTGGAACACTCAGACTTAATCGCCCACTGAGTAGGCTTTTGCATCTGCAGTCCTTTTATCAAATTTCCTCTTTTGTCGCGAGGATTTTTCGTGACCAGGTAGCATCATATGCGGACTTATTCCGGTGGTTGAATGATCTGTGCTGTTGTAAGCTCCCCTCACTTGTAGGCCATTAGTTTGTGGGTGATAAGTGGTCGAGTGGGCCTGTGCCACCTGCGACCTTTCATTAACTCCTTCAAGAGATCACCAACGAATGCTTTGCCATTGTCCGACTGGAGTGTGATGGGGCAGCCGTACCTCGCTATCAACACATTTATCAAGTGATCGCACGTCCCTTCCGCTGATGCTGTCATGCAAGGGGATGCCTCTGCCTGTTTCGTGAAACGATTGATCATTACCATCCCCTGATTGTAGCCCGTGGCTTTCATGCATATCTTCTGATGATCAATTTGCACTACTTCGTTGATGCCCGATGACTCTTTTGACTGCAGGGGGAACCTTAGTTGCCTGGGGTCCTTCGTCTGTTGACACGACAAGCATGCAGAGATCCAATTTCACAAAATTTCTTCAAAACAGGCCAGTCGAATCGTTTCTGTATCCTGTTGTACGCTTTTTCCACGCCTTGATGGCCCATCTGATCATGTGAACGAAAGAGCAATTCGGTCTGGTATAACAGTGGCAACACTTTTGAATTATACTTAAAAAGGACCTTATTTTCTTCCTTGCGTTTACAGGCTATGATTCCGTCTTTGTTCAGGTACAACAAATCTTTTCTCTTCATGTAAAATTGCTTCAAGGTCTTATAACTGTCTTCCTCTAAATCTCCTTTTTCAGGTGTCCCGTTCTCGATCCATCTTTTCAGATTACTCGTCATTCTGTCATTTCGTTGATCCCTAGGAGATCCGACAGCCGGTATCTGGCTTTTAGATATGTCTTTACCACGTTCAATTGTCCGCTAATTGCCTCCGGGGCATGAGCATCATCCATCAACTTGACACACCATATCTTCTTCAAAAGTGTTGCTTCCTGCACAGATGACTCCAGGTTGGTACGGACGACCGTACCATGTGGTAGATTTCTGGTTGGGCGTTTCGACACTGCTATCAGTTCAAGCTCATCTGCGGCATTATCCACTACAGTGCCCTCCTCATAGGAGGTATACCTGTCTCTGTCCGGATGCTGATGCATTTGCCGGTCCAGCCCGCGCTGTTTCTATTCCATCAACAAGGAAAGAATAGCAATCTCCGAAAAATAGGACTGGGAAGTGGTATCAGATGTGTTCTCCCAGGATTGGGGCCTCGATTCGTCACTCGAGCCGATGGATTCCACATCATTATGTTCTAATCTGTCTGTGATGTTTCTCGACTCCCCGGACAAAACTCTTCAGTGGCTTGGACCTGGGTCGATGTCCCATGTTCTGTGAACCAAGTCCTCAACAAGACATCCCTCGGCATTGAGTTCACCAGCTGGTTCACTATCGACCGGCAATCCCGTTCAAAATCTCGACTGAGAATTGTCACTTGCCTCTTCTCTGTTCTCTCAGTGACGGTCAACCGTTGGATGGTTTGCATCCAATATTGATCATGCCTATCCAAATCTCTATCCAACAAGTCACGGAGCTTCCCCCATGACGTCCGGCGCCACGTTCACTGTCCTATGTGGCAGGGCTATGCTGTTTATACACAGCCTGGTAAGCTCCAGCTGCACCAGATTGGATCGGACCAGCAGATCCAGCGGGACAGGATCACCCCTGGACAATACCTTTATTTCAGCCACCGTCTCCACCGGAAGTTCAGGGTGTCCTGGTATGGGGTGCCCTGACTTGTCCAGCCACCTGGTGGGTGGTAGTTTATCATAGGTCTCCTTATCTAGAAATGATAATCCGTCTTTGATTTCTGCTTGATTGGCCTGTTTCTCTTCTAGGCGCACATAAAATTCTGTCTTTTTACTGAGGATATCAGCACTTTGATGCTTGTCACGGGTACGGTGCTCTATGATCATGTGGTACCCATCCAGGCGCACGATCCAACGACCAAAATAACTTTGGTCCATCGAATAGGTTTCTAGCCAGGCAAGGGTACGATTATCCACACGCAACTTAAAGGGATCACTCCACAAGTAGGCCCTGTATTTTTCCACGAAAGTGATCACCGCGAACATTTCCGCTTTTGGTGCGCCGTACTTCATCTCAGTATCGCTCAGGACCCTACTTCCATAGGCTATCGGACGGAGAACCGTTCCCCAGTTCCACTCTTGCTCCTGGTGAAGTATGCCCGATTTCGTAACCACTGATGCATCCGTGACTTACACAAACATCCTTTTCTCTATTGGCATGCCGAGTACCGATGCCTCGCAAAGTTCACGTTTAATGTTTTCAAATGAAACTTGTGCCTTATCAGTCCAAGTGAATTTTTTGCCCTTGTTTCTCATCAACTGCTGCATGGGTTATATCTTATCGGCGTACTCTTTGATGAATCCTCGATAATAGTTAGCAAACCCCAAAAAGTTCATCAGCTGTATGTCTGTCTTAGGTGCTTTCCAGGTCAAGACCGCCTCGACCGCTTCCGGATTCGGTCTCACACCATGCTTATCCACAAGGCGGCCTAGATACTTTATTGAGTCTCTAAGAATTTCACACTTGGAGGGTTTGCACTTCAGGCCCGCTTGTTTCATGCAAGCAAACACCTCATCCAACCTCTCTATAAGATCCTCCAGGGTTGGTGTTGCGATCACGACATCATCGACGTAACACATGTTGAGGTTCCCGTATTTCTTTGTTACTTTCGTGAGGGCCTGGGCCATCAGTCGCTGGGATGTGGCCGTCGCTTTGCACAATCCGAACGGCATCCTCTTCCACTGGAACAATCCCAGCTCGCACGCGAAGCCCGTTTTCTCGCGATCTTGCTTCCTGAGTGGCACTTGTCAGAAAGCAGATCCCAAATCTAACGTCGTGAAGAACTTCGCGTCCCCCAATTTGGAGAGGCTCTTATCGATGCGGGGAATCGGGTATGCGTCCTTTATCGTTACTGCGTTCAGGTAGCGGAAATCACAACAAAACCTGAGTTGCCCCCTTTCTTTTTAGCCATGACCATGGGGACTTCGACTGCTCAATCATGTCGTACTCCATTAACATCTCGATCTCTTTCCTGCACGCTTCTGGCTTATGTGGGGTCATTCTGCTCGCCCCTTCCCTATGAAGTACCGAGCCCTCGTCTATCTCAATCTCGTGTTCTACAAAATTGCAGCAACCTATATCAGCTTTATGCTTCGAAAAAACGTCTGTATTCCGATTTAGCACCGCCCTGAGCGAATCTAGTTCTTTGTCCGATATTTTACCCTTCACATATTCTATCTTGGGCAGGACATGTTTTTTGCTGCTAAATCAATTTCTGTTGGTCTTTCGGGAGAATTGGAACAATTAGACAACCCATCATCTGTCTCTGACTTCATTGAAAACAATTTTTTAGAAGATTTCAATTTATTTTTTCTCTTCAGTATACTTTCTCGATTCGCGTCAAAGGGACATTTAGTTACATCAAACTTTTTCAAGTTCTCCACACTCTGAAAATCTGTGTTCAGAGGCAATGCGTAGCCAAGTTTTTTCCCCTCTGTATTGTCACTGTGGTTGCTTCTGTGTTCAACAACACACTCACACACAGTCCGCTCTGAGTGAGTGAGAAACTTCTTCCTAAAATAGCCGAGCTCTTACTGTTCGGATTTGGTACCAGACACACCTGTCTGTCATTACTGAGTTTATTTAAATTTCTCATCCTCAACGTCGCTACCACGGCTTGGTTTGGCTTCAAAATAACTTTTCGATCATGAAAAATCGGCACCTTTGCCTGGTTAATTAAGATCTTATTAGGAGGTTTCTTTTCATACTTCCTCTCAGGATTTTTGATCCTGATCAACCCGTCGTTGAGGTCGATCGTGACATCCAAGTTGCGTACGAAGTCCCTTCCCAGGATGACTTGATCGGATTCGTCCAAATTTTCCACCACCAGGAAGCTCATCCAAAGATGTCTCCCTCCAAGCTGTAGTGACATAATCGGGGCCGTCCTGTCACATAGATTGCTCCCTGATTGGCAGCAGCCAGTCTGAGGTTTGTTGGTATCAAATCCGACCTGTCGAAGCCTATATCAGTTCAAGTGCTGACTGGCATGACGCTGACCACTGCTCCCGTATCTAACAGTCCTTTTACTGAAAGTTGTCTGCCCTGCACATCCAGCACATTTGCTGCCAGATCGGCTTCGCAACCTATGTGAACCGCATCCTGTTCAAGCATGGCGTTATGTCCGATTCGTCGCACCTTCAGCTCTTCTCGACCAATGTATATCCGGCCTACTTGATCGCTGGCATCAGTCACGTGAGCCTTTGTGTAGATGTTAAGGTCGTCCACATTCATCAGAATCGGATATGGGCCATGGACTTCAATGTAATGTCCATCTACTCTCATTAACCTTGGACCTGCTGTCGTGAGCAACGCTCGCACTGCCCTGGAGTCCAACTTTGGATCCTTCTCCCTCAGGTAGTCCGCATAAATATCCAGGTGTACCAGCGTGACCTCCGACGGTTCACCAAGTTCTTGACCACCTGGTGTCCTGCGACCGATATAATGGACATTATCTTCGTTCCTTCCTCGGTCATGCCAAAGATTTTACCCGATATAACATTTAGCTTTAGTCCCAGTTTTCTGGGTTCCTGTTTGTCCTCTTCTTTCGTTTTTTTCCCCAGAATGTCATTTTTTCCCCGAAGATCTTTGCTTTCTAGTTCCGACCTTACCCATTTATCAACTTCTTTCGTGGCTAGCTCCTGCTGGACATTCTGTAATGCAGTCCGGGCTGCTAAGCCATAATCCACCTTGAGCGGGCCAGCCGACTCTGCCTCCAGGCTCGAGGCTATCACCTCATCAAGCAAGGTCTTCACCTTCTTAGTCGTAAATGTGCTCGGTGTCGTCTCTTTTCTCCGAGACTCAGCCTCGTTCATCAGACGTGCTCGACTGGCTTTGACGCCCGAAAGAGCCTCTTCATCACGGAGAATTTTCCGCCAGCGCATTTCAAAACTGAGTGCAATCCGACTTGAAGTTTCCCTCGAAATTACAGAAGAAGCACCTTGGTCCATACTTCTTTATGAGTCCTCTAACGTACTCTTCTTGGTCCTCGTCGGTCGCATCAACATCATCGAGAAAGTAGCCTATCGCTTTCATGTTCTGTTTGTAAGCAGAACAGGCGGAAACATGGTGGTCCATCGAGCTACAATCGGCACATGACCTCCTCCTATCCATGTCGTCTCGAGTTCTGTACCAACTGGAGTTCGCGCCAGTGTTTGTTCAGCTGTAGTTGCCATAATTGCTGTAACGGATTTGCGCCCTCGGTTTCATGAGCAAGTACTCACGCGACTTCATACGCAAATCATCGGGCGTGGGTACCTGGTCAACCAACAGGGTGAAGTGTGTAGCTAGCATGGTTTTCAGCTGATCACTTTTTACTCCATCCATGAACTTAGAGGCGATGGCCAAGTTTCGCTCCGATATTCTCTCATCGGGATTACTTCTCCTTCTGAGTAGTTCAAGGTCGTCTAATAACTTGTCTATGGATTCTTCATCTCTTTGGCGCCTCTTTTCGAACTTCACCATAGCCTGATGCCCTTATACACCAGAGCCGAAACGATTCAGCAAGATTTCGAATATCTTTCGAGCGCTGTCTCGTTCATTGGCCCTTATCGCCATCACACAATTTAGGGCGGTGCCCTCCAGGTTGCTTGTCAATGCGCTGCATTCCTGTTTCTTTGAGAGATTCTCTTCTTCATAGTGTAACTTCATCACTTCTATCCAAGTATCGATGCAGCCATCTGACTCGTCCTTAAATGACTTCGGCTTTTCGAGTGTCCTCCTTGACCTCTCTCCTCTCTCGGTTGACTTCGAGAGCTTGGTGATAAATGGTTCAAGAGACCTGTTCAGAGGCTCAAATATCGAAGCATACATCGTTGTGTCCTGTGAAACTCTAGTCAGATCTGGCACTGATCTGACTTGTGGCACAGTGAGCAATCGTGCCTCCGGGGTGGCATCCGCTTCTGGTAGGACCGGGTCTGTCCAACCTGGCCTCGATGGGGCTGCCCTGGGCCGCTCGTTATATTTAGATTCGTGATTCGTTCACGAACTCTGCTGGGCCCCGGCATAGCTGCGTGCTCCGTCTCCATCATTTGCCTGGCGTGAGCGCTCCATTGGGGCGGAACGATCCTCCCGATTACTCCCGTTTAAGATCTCGTCAAGCTTCCGCATCATCAGGTCAGATTTGCCATCCAACCTCTTCTACAGGCTAGTCATCGTATGATCATCGGTTTTGTCGTGATCGTTCAATAATCGCTCGATCTCTCTTGCCATCCTAATCTCTCTTTCCACTGACTCCTTGTTTGCTTGAGCCAAGCTCTCCGCCAGGCATTGATCGGTGTTGCGAATCAATTGAGCCTGATCGACTCTCGCCTGCGACTTCACGTTTGTCAGCTCATCTCGCAATTTCTCTTGATCCTGGTGAGCTCTCTCCTCGACTTGTTCTATTCTCTTAGTCATGTCCAGTCGCAGTTCTTCAAGGCCTGTCATTACGCCAGCAAACATGTCACTTATATCGCCAGCCGCCTCCGATGCCGGGGTTAGACCCAGAGATGATGAGGTCAACAGCTGTTGCAGCCTAGTACTCGATGACGCGCCGCCCTTTTGCTTGCCCATCGACATCATCAACCTGTCGAACGTCGAGGATACTCTTACGGTCATCCCATAAGACATCGGCCTGGTCGGCGAGTTGGCCATCGCTTTCCTGTCCTTATCATTCCTTGGGCACGGCTCGAAGTCCACATCCGGATGAGTTATCTCCGGATGGTCATAACTGGAAGATAGACCTTCGGTTTGTAGTGATGCCATGCGCTCGTCGTGCAAAGAGTTCCAGCTTTTCTTGGCTTCGAACTTCTGTGTTCCTCACTTGAACTTATACTTGACATCATCGCATTTTTGTTCTGCTTGACTAGAGATGGTTGTTCTTTTCTCCACTTGTTACTCTTGGTCTCTGATTTGGACATTCCCCTGAAAAATACTTCTTCTCGCGGTTCGACCTCGGAACGCTCTGAGGCCTCCTTCCATACTTTCAACTTCGTCCCGTTCAAAGTCCTTGCATGGCTCTTCAAGGTCGGCGTGATGGTGGTAGTCGGGTCGGATCAGCGTTTGCTCCCCTTCCTCGAAGGGATCCGTAAGCGTCTCGCTCGCCTGTCCGGTCTCACTACTTCGCCCTTGATCGTCATCGAAGTTCTTCTCGCTTCTGAGTTTCATTCCGCTCACTGAAAGACCAGCGTGACCTTTAATCGCTTCTTCATCAGCAAAGACATCGGAAATGTTACTAACCGTATATTGGCTACGCCGTGGTTTGAGCTTTCGTGTAGTCCCCGTACTCAGCCTGGGAATCTTAGTTGTTGTCCCTAACAAATCCCTGCGCTGCACAACCAAAAAAGCAACCAAAAAAAAATTTTGCTCGGGTACTTCTGATAAACCCGATCTAGAATCCAAAGTTGATCACAATTTTCCGGGTCAAATGGGCTCCTATAATCCTAATACGCACGCCCGTTGGTAGTTGACTTTTTATTCCGACTCTGAATGAATGTTTTAGTTGCTCAAATTGCCCCAGAAGGTACCCCTATAATCCTAATACGCACGCCCGTTGGTAGTTGACTTTTTATTCCGACTCTGAATGAATGTTTTAGTTGCTCAAACTGCCCCAGAAGGTACCCCTATTTCTAAAAACTCAAAAATTCGATCCTCAAAACATATTAACAGGGTTGGTGTTGCGATCACGACATCATCGACGTAACACATGTTGAGGTTCCCGTATTTCTTTGTTACTTTCGTGAGGGCCTGGGCCATCAGTCGCTGGGATGTGGCCGTCGCTTTGCACAATCCGAACGGCATCCTCTTCCACTGGAACAATCCCAGCTCGCACGCGAAGCCCGTTTTCTCGCGATCTTGCTTCCTGAGTGGCACTTGTCAGAAAGCAGATCCCAAATCTAACGTCGTGAAGAACTTCGCGTCCCCCAATTTGGAGAGGCTCTTATCGATGCGGGGAATCGGGTATGCGTCCTTTATCGTTACTGCGTTCAGGTAGCGGAAATCACAACAAAACCTGAGTTGCCCCCTTTCTTTTTAGCCATGACCATGGGGACTTCGACTGCTCAATCATGTCGTACTCCATTAACATCTCGATCTCTTTCCTGCACGCTTCTGGCTTATGTGGGGTCATTCTGCTCGCCCCTTCCCTATGAAGTACCGAGCCCTCGTCTATCTCAATCTCGTGTTCTACAAAATTGCAGCAACCTATATCAGCTTTATGCTTCGAAAAAACGTCTGTATTCCGATTTAGCACCGCCCTGAGCGAATCTAGTTCTTTGTCCGATATTTTACCCTTCACATATTCTATCTTGGGCAGGACATGTTTTTTGCTGCTAAATCAATTTCTGTTGGTCTTTCGGGAGAATTGGAACAATTAGACAACCCATCATCTGTCTCTGACTTCATTGAAAACAATTTTTTAGAAGATTTCAATTTATTTTTTCTCTTCAGTATACTTTCTCGATTCGCGTCAAAGGGACATTTAGTTACATCAAACTTTTTCAAGTTCTCCACACTCTGAAAATCTGTGTTCAGAGGCAATGCGTAGCCAAGTTTTTTCCCCTCTGTATTGTCACTGTGGTTGCTTCTGTGTTCAACAACACACTCACACACAGTCCGCTCTGAGTGAGTGAGAAACTTCTTCCTAAAATAGCCGAGCTCTTACTGTTCGGATTTGGTACCAGACACACCTGTCTGTCATTACTGAGTTTATTTAAATTTCTCATCCTCAACGTCGCTACCACGGCTTGGTTTGGCTTCAAAATAACTTTTCGATCATGAAAAATCGGCACCTTTGCCTGGTTAATTAAGATCTTATTAGGAGGTTTCTTTTCATACTTCCTCTCAGGATTTTTGATCCTGATCAACCCGTCGTTGAGGTCGATCGTGACATCCAAG